GTGAATGCAAAACCTTTCTACAACTTTGATTCCAAATTGAAAGGGTCTTAAAATGGGGAAGAGTTATACCTCAAGTAGTGGAATATTAGCTCTGCATAGCAAAAGGCCCAGGTTTGATCCTTGATCCTAACAGAGCTAGGAAATATTCCTGCCTCAAGTCCCAGAAGAGCAGCTATCAGTTCAGACAACCGAGTTACACATACTAATGGTTTGACTCAATCAAAGCACTACTTATGTTATATGACAAAGATGAAATTGACAAAGATGAAAGTAGGCATGGTAATTACATCTCAGAGAGTCTCTGTAAGGGGTGAGGTCAAAGAACCCATATGTCTTCTCACATCAGTCTACATGTGATTTATGCAGTATGATACAATATACTCAGATTATTCCCCTAGAAGTAATCTATTAGTCAGAGATCCATATCCTAGACCCATACTGAATTCGCAGTGAGCAGTCAAGAACTAGCATTTGATGGAGGTATACTGTCATAAAGCAAGAGATTTGAGAGACATAACACATTACAACATCTTATGAATGGTGCTACCTCAAATCCTTAACAAGGACACCTTTGCGAATCATGGACAGATAAATGCACAAAGGAACAGCAAAGAGATTTAGTGACTGAGACTACACCCATCCTTAAAAGATAGGTGATGTTGTTAGACAGCAAGGACTGCCACCCCTCAGCTACCTGAAGAGAACTGTGTGCTACCCCCATCCCAAATCTGTATCAGAGTTTTAGAAGGCAGTCATAGGGAACCAACTGTCCTGTCTTTCTGTTTTCTGCATAGTATTCCATGGGGAATGCTGTAAAAGGGAAGAACAAGTTATCACTCTAGCCCTCCAAACCGTATACTGAGACCAACCATCAGTGCCAACACTGAAGAATTAATTGGTTCAGGGTCAAAGTAAGAGATGAACATAGTTTCTACAAGTACTGTGGGAAGTTATGTTCTGAACAAGCTTTGATATGCAAATACAATACCTTCTAGAAGGTTGTCAGTACTGTATCAATTCCTATCTTCAGGACTCTGAACTAAAGTATTACCCCAATTTGATACTCCTAAATGAAAATAAGAGGACAGTAAAGATATGTCCGGAGAAACAGTATTCTGCAAATTCAGACTGACAGGCCTCTTTTCTATCTCCATCTAGGGGGTATTGTTTCTTCAAGGACTACCCAACTTCAACTAGACTTGCCCTGGGGCTAAAGAGGAAATTGCTGATTTGACATCAGTGTCTGAACTTGAAAAGCTTAGTAGGACATGTTGTTCTGTTTCGCAATGTGACTGGAAAGCCACAGAAAAGCAAGAAGCCTCCTGTAAAGACCTGAACTTTATTATCTATAACAAGAGCAGCTTGGTGTGTTGAATAAATGTTAATACAACCATTGGTTTTTTATGATTATACAGCATTTTGACACAACACATAGTTTAATACTGAAGGCAAAAAGAAACAAGATAAATCTTATAATCACCAACATGAATAGATAATCCCACTGACAGTAAACACTCTTCCCTACACAGATCTTGTGACTGGACAAGTCCAACTGGGAAAATCAGCAAGTTATATGGAAGCCTTGCTAGCAACACTTTTTGGTGAACCCTTGAATAGGCTCATACTTTTGAACATAAGGACTATCAATTCAGTTAAAACATATAAGTCAAGCATATGGCAGATAATAAACAAAAAACCAGGTGGATATTGACTAGTAAGGCACTATAAAAGAATTAACAATTATATATTGGACAAGAACTGAAAGGCCACACCGTGTTTTACATACATTTCTTCTAAGTATCTCTTGAAGGTTGTGGGGGAGGGGGGAACAACAAAACAGAGTAGTGTTTGATGCAGTGAGATGATGGGGTAAGCAAAGTAACCATGCACAGAAGCACTTACTATGCATGTGGAAGACTAGAGAAGACCGTTTGATTCTGTGCACATGCTAATTTAAAGCTTACTTGTACATTTGTAATAATTATATAAATGTGGAATTGTAATAGGGCATGTTAATCATTCTTGTGTTCTTGTATATCCAAAAGGCACATAAACCAAAGTCCTTGGTTCAATTTCTAGCATTTTCAGGCAAAATAAGAAAACGCAGCTTAGGTAGAAGTAAGGGGATAGATGTCTTGGAAAGCAACTGCCAGTCAAAGTGGGCAGTACTGTGCTAAACAGACAAATGGTCTAACTTGATGGCGTCAGATGAACATTCCACAGAATAAGTTTGCTCTGCTCTGTCCTTCCCTGCTCCCACCAACTAGGCTTGTAATGCCTTTTTTAACCTAGTGTACCACCAACATTCAGTTTCCAGCCTTGCTACTACAAAAACCATTTTCTCTTTAACTGTTGGCAAATGACAAAACTAATCATAAAGGTATTGGAAGGCTAGATTTTGGAATCTTTACTATGGATCAACATGGCTTACTTGAAAAAGCCCCCTAATATTTAGAGATTATTTTAATAGGAATATGCACTACAGATTTAGTGAATGGATGAATAACCAACCTCTTTATATTGTTTTTAATTTAAAAAGCCTGTTTACACAGTAAACAGGAAAATATTAAACTTATGTCTATATTTAACATAATCCTGTGCAATTACTAACCTCTATTAATTTCCTTAAACGAACCCTCTTCAGATCATCTGCCAGTTTTATTTGAACTCAAAAACAGTGCATATTAAATTATGGGTTTGGACGTGCCAGTAGGGCCAAGATGGTCAACCAGGCTAGTGAAATAGTGAAATAGTGCCACTGGGTGGACAAGGATGGTATGAAGCTTCTGCTGAATTTTTAATATGTTTACAGATATAGGCCCAGATTCACATTATAAAAAAATCAATAAAAGGTGAGACAGCGTAACTCAGCGAGAATTCCTTTATGGGTCTACAAGTCAACATTACAATCTAATGTTTAAGCTTGTCCATGGCATGATCACTTAGGCTACCATGACCTCCACTCACTGATTCAGGGCATCTATTACCACAATTATATAATATTCCAAAGGTGGAACCACTCCACAAACACTATAAACTAAACAACTACATATACACTGCTCCTGTGACTTGCTAACAATCATGATAATCAAAGCTGCACAAATCATTTGGGATCTTTTGCACATTGTAGAAAAATGAGGGAGCTTCCAACATGCCTCAGGAGCATAACAGAAGCTTTCTGCTTTATTTCAGAAACAGTGTTGCCAAGCGTGTATGTACTTTTTGTGTCTAACTGAAATCTCAGAATTGGCAATAACTTGAAGTAGTTCAATAATAAGACTTGCGGAGGTTTTGTGGGAGCAGCAAATGAGTAATAACATCGGAAAAAGAAAATCCGCAATAGCTTCACATGCATTTTTTAAACAGAGCTTTTATTTATTTATTTTTTTTACTGCAAACCAGTCCATTATTAGAAAAAGCTCTCTGTGCATGTCCTGAGACTTTGAGTATTAAAGTACTTGGATTGAATCCTAACAGAAACAGATTCTAGTACTCTATTGGACGATTACACTATCCAGAGAGGAACTCCATACTGCTGGCATCTCTGCAAAGACAGCTGTTATTTTCTTGTATTTTTCCTCCTCCTTTGTAGGTGACAGGAGAAAAAGTGTTTCTATTAAGTTTAATGAAGGCAGAAATAAAGCAACTGATCTGTAATACAATTTCCCAGAATGTTCATTTTAAAAAAATGTATGACTGTAGGTCTGGTTTACTCATGCTTTCTCTAACTTCAACATGAAACAAGGAAAAACCATTATGGAAATGGGGCAGTATATAAATATTAAGATAAATAAAATAAATAAACATTTCTGTGGTAGACAGAATGGGCTAATGAGCTATTTGCTATGTAGATTCTGCTGGCTTATTGTAAATCCTACTATCACCTAATCATCACCACAGGGTTGCTTCTTGTCTCCTCCCCAGGAGGAGCAGAGAAAAGACAGGATCTCCTATCAGATAAACCGACTGAAGACAACAGCAAAACATATGAAAGTATATGCTTAAGCCATTGACAGAAGCTACTGCAAAATCTTTTTGAACCCTAATAAAATACGCATCTTTTTCCCCTAAGTAGGAAGAGAATTCATAAATACAATTAAAGGATATACACAAGCCGGTATTTTATTAAGTATTGTTGTGAAACAGCAATCATAGGATCAAGGTGAATTACACAAAATGATCAAGATTCCAAGTTATAAGAGGTGGCATAAAAACAGACATTCTCCATTAACATTTCTATTTGTTCTTTAAGTCTTGAACTGAAGTGCACTCTTACTGAAGGTATATAATGAACATTAGTCAACTAAATCAAACTTCCATCACAGTTCTTGTTTTGGCAAGACATGTAGAGAGCTACATACAAAACTACCACAATCTAGGATTTTCAGCTTCTTGTATACTGTACATTTTTAGCATTTACTAGAAAATGGCAAACATAATTAATATCAACCACAGCAGTTGTTTCCTCTAAATCAAGGCCAGTTTAAGTGCATGATTCGTGTTACACAGAGAAGTGGTAGAACTGGGGCTACATTTGGTTTACTACATATTCTCTTTATTCAGACTAAACCCAAACTAGTCTCAAGCACTCTTAAAGACTTCGATAAGGGTACATGAAACCTTTCAACAAAACATATTTACACTGGAAAATAGGAAATCTGATAATTTAGAATATGTTTCTAGAATTATACTATAGCCTTTCAGAGAACTGCAACATTTTTGACTGTTCATATTATATAGCATCAGAACTCAGGCAAAGCACAAGAAGATCGCATACGCCTGGAAGTTAACTAATTTCTGCTCTGGAAAGCTAGCTCACTTGCTTCTTTCAATGTTTAGGAGTTGAGCTATTGATATGTCTTTCAAAACCTCCTCCCTCCAAGGCTCCCAACAGGACTGAGCACCAGTTTGCCAGCAACAGAAGATGCAAGTAATGAACTAAGTCATACTATTCAGTTTTACTGTGTATTCCCATCCCAGCATAACACTCTTCAAAATACCTTTAGGTCATCAGCCTCAGGTTTTTCAGTCTCTGAATCGTCATCTTCCTATAAGACAAAGAATTTACAGGATTAAGCTTTAAAAAGTGGGCTTAGCCAGTTCTTGCATGTGTGGCAAGGGGCTTGCATTAAATAGCCCAGTTTCACTATTTCTGCTGGCCTATTGTTTGCATAGTCTTTCCCCCACCCCTGATAAAACATCTATTCAGATAAAAGGTGGTATGGACAAGACATCACTATTTCCAAGTAAGCAGGTATCTCTGTAGATTCTCAAGGTCCACATTAACATTTGATTTCTCAAAAAAATAAAAAACCCTGACAAAAAGGCAACAGACAGGAAAAATAAAAACTTAGATCATATCGGAATTCTTTGACACTTTAAAATGCCAAAACAGTCCATAATGAAAGGCAATTATAAAGACAAGATCTCACGATGCTAGCAGTTAGCAACACCTTCCTGATTTTGTGAACTACAAAGCACTGTTACAAGCCAACAGAATGCACACCTCTAAAGAGGACAATCAAGATGTTTGATATGATGGAACAAATGCAAGAATGAGAAAGACACAATTGTTTCAGATGATTAGCTTACAAGTACTGCCTTAAAGCTGCCTTGCTATCCAGTAGTTCTCCTCAGATCTTTGCCGAAGATCACTCCTGTAGTTCCTCAAAGTTGCCAATCTTTCTCAATGGATACTAGCTTTTACCAGTTATCACCACACCCATTTGTGTCTCTCTGCAATTGAGGTCCCCTACTTTTTGTGTGTACAAAAAGAAAAATCTAGAATCACAACTATAGAAATGTAGTTCTGACCCACCTCTGATACAAAGGATTGCCTAATATTTAACAAGAATATCATTTTAGCCATGTTACATAGAACCTAAAAGTAAGAAACCCACTCAATCTCTGTTCTCAAGAACACAAACAATTGATACTACTATTCAAGTCTAAAGCCAAAGCCACAGCCAAGACAATAAATACAGGGCTATGCAGAATGAGGTCATAGCCTGAAGACTGACCTCACCTTGCACTGAAAACCTCTGGAGAAACCATTTAGAGGATAGGGCTGAGATGTCACAGATATGCTGGTGATACATAACCTTCCCTCTCCTATGCTGGTGATACATAACCTTCCCTCTCCTTTCTATCCTAGGGAGAGAGTGGAAAGCCTGAGTGTCACAGTTTTGGCAAACTGACTATGAACGACGTAGATGTACAACCTATCCTAGTGGGGATTTTACTCCCCCTTAAGAATACTGGAGTGATTCTGGGGTGGACATTTACCCCTTGATTAAAGTGATGTTGGGAAGCTATGGGAGCCTGTATTGACCACTACAGTACTACCTATATAGGACTGCCTTTAAAGACAATGTGAAAACAGGATAGTGCAAAAAGCAGCTGCCAAAATGTTGGTTGACATGCAGTGACTGAACTACATCATACTGATCCTATGTCAACTGCACTGCCTACACATTCATTGTCAGGCAGAATTTAAATTATATGTTAAACCCTTTTACAGCTAGCAGTGAAACAGGTTAACTTAAGGACTGTCTTCCTCTTTATAAACTTTCCCAAACCTTAAAATTGGCTTTGGAGGACCTGCTCTCTAGCTTGTCTCTATTATCTAGTCTATCCAGTGGTTGGCAGAAATTGGGGACAGGATCTTTGACAGTGGCATTGCAGCTATGGAATATCATCCCTAGGGACATCTGGAGAGCTCCCTCTCCTACTACTCTTTAAAATGGGATGTAAAACTTTTTTTTTTAATTAAGAGAGGCATTTGCTTTAATTTTCTACTACTGATTTACTGACTCCATATGAATAATAGAAAAAATAGTGTTTTTATTGACACATACGTTTGCATGCTGCGCCAAGTACATCTTATTTAGAAATGGGAGACAGGTATGAAACAAACAAATCCAAATTCTGGTACAATATGAAAAGGGCATTTTCTCCAGCCTTTCTGTATGAGGCAGACTACAATTCAGTTTGTTCTCACAAGTAGCTTACCCTGAAACAGAGCAATTAACTTGGATGAGGGCTGTCAAGAAGCTACTTTATCCTCATATACAGAGAAACTGGGAATGATTCCAGCCACTTACTCCCTGCTTCCCCCACATTATAGGGAAATGCCTGAAAAAAGATTGTGTGGTTATTTTAACTCAGTGGTTTCAATTAACAAGGTTGTAAGACACAGCTTATTTAGATGTCCATGAGCTCTCTTGAATTTGACATCCACTTCTGAAGAGAAGAAACATGTGACCAAACATCTACCACGGATCTTATTGCGTGTAGAAGAGAATGTCTGGAATTCATGTTTCAGCAAACCTTTAGAAAGTAGGCAGGAAGAAGACTGACTGCCCTGACCTATGACATTAACTCAGACCAGAATGCAACTTTGACCCCTTATTGCTTCTCAATAAAGCACTTATGAATAAAATTTTATTTGTAAGGATCCTATTACCTCTGCATCTAACCACAGTTATATGTAAGCAATTTTGTCAGAGCAGACAATAAGAACACTGACACAGACAAGAGGTTAAATGTTGAAGTATTTTGCATCTCTACAAGCTAGAAAAATATTTTAAAATGCACATGACCCAAGTTGGAAATACTCCCAGAAACAGGCTGTGGATTGTAATTATATACTATAAAATGAAAAAAACTTTAGAAAATTTGTCACCGTATGCTGTTGTAAGTTGCTATTCAAGTTTCTAGCAATTTTAGAACACTATTTTACAGACACTGTTAAATATTATGCTCAAAAAGGGAAAATATTAACCAAAGAAAAAATGAATTCTTGCGAAAAAACCAGAACAATCCTGTTCCCCCTTTGACAAATTCTTGAATACAGCTTATATGATCACAGTCTGGCACAAATAATTCAGGTATGTGAAAAGGCAACAGGGAAATGGTTTTAAAATCTGTTATATTAATTATATTATTGAAGAAAACAACAATAAGTAATTTGAAGAAGTATAAAAGTGAGTTGTAGATCCTGTTTGTTCTTTTCTTTGTATATTTGTATTTATATTATATAATAGATGCTTTACATTGTTTCCTTTTTAAATATATAATATCAAATAAAACCTGAAGGGCTACAAATGCAATTCATTCATCTTTACATCAAGACAGAGGCTTGATCTTAAGGCTCTCTTGCAGGAACAAAAGACACTTTAACTTATTTAGGGTGGATATTTTCATGGACACATCTCCACCTGCTGTATTCCCTATGTCAAATCCCATCCTCTTCCAGATAGCCATCAGGTGTGGATATGGCAAGGCATGGGGGGATGCAAATAGAAAGGGGAGATAGAAAAGCTGCATTCCAAGCCAGAGTAAAGTAATGTGGTTAATCCATCCCACTCATGTAGCAAGAAATGGTGAAATGGAAAAGAAGGATGGGACCATCATGTAAAGGAGCACCCTCTCCAACAAAGCCAGACTCCTGGTCTGGCATTAATCTCTCTGGAGATTTTTTTTCTCTAACTATTTAACAATTAAATTTGCTCCTTGAAGTTTTTACAGCTAATTGAGAGCATGGGCTATGTATGCCATAAAGAGCAGTGTCAGTAGCAACAGACACTGACCAGGTTCATACAATCATAAAGGTAAAATAAGCCACAAAGGATCCCTCCCTAGCACAAGTCATGGATTTCAGGGTAGTTTATAAAAACCTGCACCTAGTGAAAGTAATCAGGCTAACTAGGTGACGTGCAGGAACAGGATCATATAAACCCACCCATTAATACCTAGAGCAAAAGAATTTGATATAAACTGGGTTGCCAAATGTATTGTAGCTAATGTTTTAAGATATTATTCCATCAACTGCATAAGCTAACACCTGTGGTAAGCCCATATATAAACAAAAGTAGAGAGGAAGAGATGAGGAGCCAGCCTGCCTATATTTCATTTTATTGTGGAAAGGATAGTTTTAACATATAATAAGCATTAAATCAACCAATATAAGATCAAGTACCTACCGACTGTCTACTGTTTTCATCGTCATCATCATCATAACCATCTTCCTCTCCCTCCATTTTACTGAAGTCATCTTCTCCATAGCCTTCAGACACCAAGCCTCCTTTTTCTTCTAGCCCATGCAGAATTAAAAATACAAATAAGGAAGAATTAGAAGCAATCTAACATTCCTATCGGAATTTATGTAGAATATAGATACTGATTTAACAATAATACATATAAGCATATATATTAGAGAAGCACTACACTATTAAGTGCTCCAGTAATTACAGGTCTTAAGGCAGATTCACACTCTCTACAAGATCAACTACACTCTTATGTTATTTACTTAGTTTTAAAGTGCTGTTGTGACATTTGTTATATTGCATACACTCAGAGTGGAATGTTTTAAAAAATCGATGTAGTATTGTTGATAGTTGAATATGCCACTGTGAAAGAAAGAGTGTGGAGAAGAATGGCTTAAAAAGTACCAGAAATCTCAGAAAGACAAAGAGGATTCCTGGGACTATATGCAGAGTGGTAATAGTTCGATGGTAAAGCACACAATTTGCAAGCAAGCTGTCATTGGCCGAACACCTAACAAATCCTCTTAAGCAGCAAGACTGAGGAAACCGTGGAGAGCAACTACCAGCTATAGCAGAAAAGACTTAGCTAACTGGATTAAGTTTAGGACAGTCACGTAGATCCGAAGCAATCCTCTAACACCCAAGAAGTCTAACAGAAGAAACGCGAGAAGAAACCCCTTATTCCTTCATCCCAGAGAAACAGGATGTGCTTCTTTCACCGAAATGGCAGAAGGAAAGAAAGACTTTCTTTTGTACCCAACACGGACTCCAAGTTTGGCTTGGAGCTTTCCCGAACGGGGCCGCGGTGGAAGAACGAGCCGAACGATGCGAAATCCATTATCGCCCCACCAAGACCTCACCTGTCCCTGCTGCTCGCTCGCTGCCCACCCCGCCCGCTTCACTATCCGACTCGGGCTCAGAATCTTCCGCGTAAACCGCTAAAGATGAGAGAACGCTTTTCTTCGCTGCCGCCATTTTGCCCAGCTAACCTCTCAATTGAATTGCCTTCCGGCGCAAGAGAATGACGCAGCATATCGAGAGAAAGAGGGAAGGTAGCCATAGCAACCACTCTTCCCTCCCTGGCCCTAAGCCCCCGATTTCTCCAGAGGTTTTTTTCCCCCCCTTTGCGGAAGTGCGAGAGAAAACATTATTTGGGAACCGTTTTGTGGGGTTCAAATCAGACTAAGAGAACGTTCGGTTTTAGGTAACCGGCTCTTTAAATATTTCAGTAGCGTCATCAGCCTGCGCTGGCGGCGCTGTTGGAGGTTTTGTTGCTGCGGAGAAAAGCACATGCGCGTTGGTTAGCCGGGCAGCAGTCAGGATTAAGGCTGCGAAAGAGGGATGTGTCTTGGAAGACCTGAGAAGGACGTGGCGGGGCACGAAGCAGTATAGCTTCTTGGTGCTGTAAAAGTAAAACATTTCGGCCCCACAGGGCCGCGGCTGAGCGTGAGCGGCTCTCTTCTCCAAGGGTATTGGACTGTCGAAATCGCCTCTGCCTCTTCCGGGTAGTTTTATCCCTGGTCAGAAGCGGGCCTGAACTCTCAAAGTACCCACCCCCTCCCCAGATTGTTGCTGCTTGTTCCGGTCTAGAAAGGCGCTTTAGAGGGCTAATAAAATGATGGGAATTAGGATATCGAAAGTCGTCAAAGCATACTGTTAAAGTTACAGAAAGACTGGTAGTTGGGTTTCGAAGAATTACTTCAGTTTTCTCCTTTCAGAAGGCTGAAGATGAAGATATGCTGACGATTGTATACATGAGTGTAAGGTCAGTCTTTCAAAGCTGTAATTTAGTTTTAAGAAGCAGCCAGAGAGCTGCAGTGGGCTAATGGAAGAGGAGGGCAAACTGCAACAAATGGCATTAGGAAACTGGAAACGGGCGAATTTGATATGATATATACGTTGATCATAACTGAATTATGAAAAGTGACAGAAAATGTTCAGTTCTCCGATGTCTTTGCCAGATCCTGCCTATGTATAGGCTTTCTTACAGGTTTAGGAATATTAAGAATCCATAGGTTTTACTAGATTGGCAAAGGTAGCTGAAATTGTTGCTAGCTGTGTGAAAATATAGACAAAGTCAGATGCATCTGAATGTTGTTTAGTTTGTATTTTAAAGAAAAAGACACTCTGATGAGACAGATTTCTTGTGACTAAAAGTAATGGGTTGCAAAAGCTGAAAATAAGTGCCTGACATCCTTTCCTCATTTGTACTTTGAATTATCCCCAGCATCTCTCTGTAAGATGAGTAACTTCTCTTCCTCAAGACTGGAAGACAGAGTTCGGCAAACTCTGAAAAAAGTCTTTGGATTTGACTCTTTCAAGACCTCATTACAGGAAAGTGCAACTATGACTGTAGTGAAAGGTAAATTTCAAATCCATTTCTTTGCAAATTGTAATAGGATTGGAAGATTTTATTTTCATTATTTTATATGCTCTCCTAAACGCCACAATTTCCTGGTTTCAGCTACACATAGATTAAAGATAACATTGTTCCATGCATTTATTTAGTATTTTAATTCTACATAGTAAACAACACTGGTGGAAAGGCAGTACAGTTTTATAGGGATGGATACTGTACAAAGAAGTATTTCAATGTAGCTGAAGTTTTCCTGAACAAATTTTCCAAGGCCTTTAGGCTCTAGATTTTATGCATTTACGAAAGTCTCTTTTAAAGTAAACATTGAAATTCTTGGCTAGGTATATTGTTCAAAGTAGACTTACCTGACAGTGAGTGTCATTAAACAATGACATTAATTAATTCCAAGTAGACAAGAATTTTGCTATCAAATCATTAAATTCTTGGTGCCCCAGTTTTCTTGTACGGTTGACTAGAAAGTGCTGGGAACATTGAGACTACCTTTTTTTGGTATAAGCATGCATAGAATTGCATCTCAAGGTGTCACATCAGAAAGTAGGGAGAACCTTTATCTGTTCATAGCCTTTAAAACATTGTAGTAGTAAATGTCAGATTTCATAGTCACTAGACTGAACTGTATTTGTTCTGAAAATCTGTGAGATACAGAGCATAGAGCAGTATTTCCCTCTTTTCTCTCAGCGCACTTCAGTTAAACCCTGGAACTCTTCAACTGTCTTTTGTTTACATCCAAATGGGGAAGTTTGGAGAATAATCAGGCTTACTCAGACTTAGAGTCAGAACCACTGAAATCAGTGGGAACTAGGTTACTCTGCTTGTTCCATTGATTTTGGTAGGCCTCTTCTAAGCATGACTAAGTCTGATCTAAGTCGATAGTTACTAGGTCTGGAAAATCCAACCTTAAACTAAGCTTTACTGCTTGCAAGGGAACCATGGGCAATGGGGAGGTTGTAGTCCCAGCCTCCCAGGAGACAAGAGAAGGGCCAGTCTGGCCCCATTGATTGGTCAGAGAAGGAACAGGTGCAGGGAGCTTGTTTACTATCTTTCTACTAGTTGCTTGGCATTGCAGAACTGAAGGGAAGCATGCTCTGATGCCATGCATCAGCAAGAGGACTAATGTTGCTGCAGTAGGCTGAGGAGAAGAATTTGAGTATTATTATGATTCGAATATTATTTATTTAAAAGGGGGGTATAAATTTTAAATAACAAATAAACAATAATTTCAAACCGTGTTTTAAGATTTGGTCCTTTCTGAACCTGACAACCATAGTTTCCTTGTATGGACATAACAGGCAGTTATGGTTAATTGAAGACATACTGGAACTGTTCATATTACAAGGTAGGCCACTGTAGTTTATTCCCATAGTGAGGCTGCAGTATGTGCAGGATGCATTTTGAATATGCAGCCCCTGCTTGAGAGTTGCCATGTTGTGAGAAGCTGAGGAGTGTGTGTTCTATGAGGATTAAACAAGCCTTGCAGAACCCCTGGACTGGTTAGAATGCGTGGCTCACTATGCATTAAATAGCCCACCACAAACTGCATCATTTTGTTGGAACCTAGTCGTTGGCTTATCACAGTGTGCTGAGAAGGGATAGGCAAAAGCCTTGAATGCTGCATTGTTGCCTTTGCAGGAGAGAAGGATGTCTTTGTATGCATGCCCACTGGGGCAGGTAAATCCCTGTGCTACCAGCTTCCCGCGGTCCTGGCAACAGGCATCAGCATTGTCATTTCACCTTTAATTGCATTGATTCAGGTAACATCTCCTGTTATTTGTGAGAAGGGCATCTGAAAGGATGGAGGAGGAGGATTTTCCAAAAAGTGTATGTCGTGTATCGCTTAGAAGACAAAAGTAAACTCAGATTACTAAAATTAAATATTTTTATTATCTGAATCTGCCTTATCTGTAGTACTTTGTTAGCCAGATTCAGATTAATAGTTATATTTTATTGTGTAGTTCAGTGCTGATGAATTATAAGGTGAAATAAACAGTATTCTTTTTCTGTTTTTTCTAGCACTCAAAACATTTTGGTGGGCTTCCAGTTATTTGAGTGAGTGAGGCTTTACAGTATTTGAGCTGCCTTCAACCTTGTGTCCTCCAGATGTTTTGGGCTGCAGTTCTCACAAACCTCAGACATCATGGATAATAGTCAAGAATGCTGCAGGTTGCAGTTCAAAATACCTGGAGGGCCCTGGTTCAAAAAGTTTGTTGCAATTGTTCTGAATAAACTGTATCGAAACTAAGATTTTTACTGAGTTCCATGTAAATAAAAATATGAAGAATTAACACAATTTCTTCCTTTCGCAGTCAAGTGCAAAAGTATTTTAAAATAACTTTAGAATTACTATTTTAACTTAATGAAAACCATAAGCTTGTTTATCTGACTTTCTGCAATTAACAATACATGGTTCTGACTTTTTATTAGATAAGGCAACAGTTTTCAAGCAGTTTTTTTAAAGATAATAAGTTTTAAGGCAATAAAATGATATGTCAATATATTTTGAAATCAGGACTAGTGGTAAAGTTGGTGGACTAATCAAAGTGGTAAAGTGGACTAATCATTAATATGTCTACATTGTAGCTATTTTGGTAGAAGGGTTTTTCCCCCAAAGCAACTTGCTCTTTTTCCACAGGACCAAGTAGATCATTTACTGTCACTCAAAGTCAAAGTAAGCTCTTTGAACTCCAAGATATCTGCTCAGGAAAAAAAGACCATCTTAGCTGAATTAATGAGTGATAAGCCCCAGATAAAGCTCTTATACATCACACCAGAAATGGCAGCATCCTCTTCCTTTCAGCCAACATTGGAGGTTCTGTTGTCTCGAAACCTTCTCTCCTACCTGATAGTTGATGAAGCACACTGCGTCTCCCAGTGGGGGCATGACTTTAGGCCCGACTACTTGCGACTGGGCTCCTTGCGTTATCGTGTACCAAACACACCATGCATTGCCCTGACTGCTACAGCTACTAAGCAGGTTCAGGATGACATTGTAACATCACTTAAGCTAAAGCAACCTGCTGCTATTTTCAAGACACCATGCTTCAGGCCCAACCTATTCTATGATGTACAGTATAAAGAGCTCTTAACGGATCCCTATGAAAATCTGAAGGATTTCTGTTTGAAGTCTCTTGGACAGCAGAATGACTCAGGGGTGAGTTGAAACTTAGAAAAACGCATTTGATAATAAGATTTATGTTTTGTCTGTCTTAAACTATAACCAGCTTAAATTCTAGGGCAGAACGGTGGATTGAAATACATTTGCTTTATAAAGAATAAGAGGGAAAATAGCTGAAAAAATACAAAAATATGGCAAATGGCATATTCTGTGTCTATTAATAGAGTTTTCCCCACTGAAAACCAGGGTACCCAAATGAAAAATAAATGTACTGTTACACAAATGACATGACTTAACCTGATTTTACCCATATTTACACAAAAAGTCATATGTAAACAGCTAAGATTCCATAAATAGCTATCTAAGAGCTGACTGAAGACTTGTAGTTATGCTCGCCCACATTCTCGCATGCAGAAATGGAGACATTTAAGCTTCCTGTCTCTGTGTACTGAGATTCCTTTGAAAACAGGGATTGTACCATTGACAGCCAGCATGATCTTAGTTTTCAAAGGTCCTCTCTCCTTGGGTTTGAAAACATTTGCACACGGGGTGGTGGTAAACCAATGACAGTCCTTCCAGTCCATCACTTGCGTACTTTGAAAGGGCTGTCACTAGCTGTCAAACTGCTGACTATGAAAAGGTTTACCTGAAAAAAGGTGTGGGGAAGCAGCAATGAATGCAAAAGGGTTTGTGATCATGGTGAGGGTAGGGTAGAAAAGTTGGTACTGTTGCAGCATCATTTGAAATACCTGCAGGAGGACTGATTGGGAAGGAATGGGAAAACAACCTGTAGTGAGCCAACTCGTCTGTAACTTTAGGTCTATATGGTGCATACATAGAATATGCACATTGTCATCCATAGAGACATACATCTGAAAAGCTTTGCTGGCCTTCTCTGATACCTTGTTCTGTAGTACTATTGAATAATGTTGGATTTTCTTTTTATACTTGAGGTGATAGTCTCTATTCATCCTCTGCCTGCACAGGGTTACTCTGGCTGTGGAATTGTATATTGCAGGATGAGAGAAGTCTGTGAGCAAGTGGCTATTGAGCTAAGCTACAGAGGAGTGAAAGCCAAGGCTTATCATGCAGGTAGTAAAAGCTATTTTGCTTTGAAAGTTAAGTATATGTTATGTATGCAGAATAGTTGACTAACCTATATTCAGGCCTTGGGGTCTGGTCAGTAAAGTACAGTGATAAAGACTGTTCATTTCTTGGCCTGTTTTGATATACAGTATGTCTTCAGAATACAAATTCAGGAGTCACTAAATTTTTGTAACAGAGTCCTTACCAAAGCATAGGTCTCCAGGGATGATGGATTTCCATCTGGAGTATTATTTATGATGATGTGAAGGTGCTTTATCCCATCTGATCCTTCATCTATATAGCTGAATACTGTCTGCCACAGCTATTAGTTGCTCTGAAAGGCTCAAGAAGAGGCCTTTCTCAATTCTGCTGCCTGGGATCCTTTTTTCAACAGAAGATGTTGAGAACTGAACATTGGAAATTCTGCACACTGTGCATGAAAGTTTTGCCACAGTAAACCATATATGAACATCTTTTGGTGCCACAAGTGATGCAAGATACAGCTCTTAGACTAAGAGCATATCAGCAATCATGCTGGTAAGAAAATGGCTAAGAAGCAACAATTCCCAGTCTGACATAGAATATCATTACTCCTGTGACTCAGCAGGTGCCCTCTCTAATATCTTTATTTCTTGCGTGTTCTTGCTTTACCCTGGTTGAAGCCCTTGCAAGTGATTTCTTCCCGCTGAATTTTCAGCACAATTACTGAATCCTAATGACCATAAAGTTTAATGTAATAGAAATAATCTCTTCAAAACAATCATGTAGCATTATAAATATGTGTGAGAACTTCCCTTGCAATTTTTATGATGGCCAAAATTGATCTAGTGATGGCAGGACAGAGTTACAATGTCCTCCTTAAACAGGGCATCAGTACAGGTGGGGTATTGAGGAAGAGTAGGCATTTTTACTGTATTACTGAAAAGACATTGCAAAACCAGATAGTAGAAATGTGTATGAAATGCCACCATAAAAATAGGCTACAGCTTTTTGTGTACGAATGGCATCCCCCATGTTCCTTTTCTATTTTGAGTTTACTTCAAGTTCATCTCTGCTTTTGCTGATATTTTTTGTCCGTGCCAGGCTGGAGCCACAGGCAGCTGTATGAGGAACCTAGCAAGGTGTGTTCTCCAATTTATGAAAGCTGGATTCTAGAGTGTTGCATAGAGGAATTTCTGCTCTCTCGGCCTGGCTGACCTCCTAGTCTGGGCTAAGCTGGAGCCTGCCAACAGTAGTGCTTGATATTGGACATTGCTTTTCTCTTCTTTTTCTGAAGGTGGTCTTGGATCTAAGCATACAGAATCATGGCTGTGCATTTGGTTAGATTCGGGCTTCAGGTCATGAAGTTCCTATCCTCAGACGCATAGACATTCATTTCATACATAATAACAAAACAGTATATTTATTTAAAACTTCTCTATGCTGCCCCATCGCAACAAAGCCTCGGGGCGGCTCACAACATAATTAAAGACATATAAATAACACTTAATACAATAAAGATTAAAAAGCCCGGTAACATCTCGGCTTAAAAATTTAAAATCCTATAAATACATAATAAGTTAACAATTAAAATAAGATTTAAATAAAAAGGTCTTAGTCTGGCGCCGAAAAACAAATAACAACGGCGCCAGGCGGACCTCTCTGCGGAGCACATTCCATAGGTGGGGCGCCACTGCAGAGAAAGCCCTCCTCCAGGTACTCACCCTCCTAATATCATTCACGGAGGGTTCCCAGAGAAGGGTATCTGTTGCCGATCTCAAGGGGCGGGAGGGCATATATGGACGCAAGCGTTCCTTTAGATAACCAGGTCCCAAGCCGTTGAGGGCTTTATGGGTCATCGCCAACACCATGAATTGGATCCGGACTTCAATCGGGAGCCAGTGAAGCTGACGGAGAACTGGGGTTATATGAGAACAACACCCAATCCCCGTCAGCAACCTGGCAGCTCTATTCTGCACCAATTGAAGTATCCGGACTGTCTTCAAGGGTAGCCTCACGTAGAGCACGTTACAGAAGTCTAATCGGGAAGTTACCAATGCATGTGTCACTGTTGCCAGGCAGTTGTTCTCCAGGAAGGGACGCAGCGGATGGATCAGCCGAAGCTGAAGGAAGGCGCTCCTCGCCACCGCTGTCACCTGAGCTTCTAGTGACAGCTCAGGTTTGAGGAGCACTCCCAAGCTGCGAACCCTGTCCCTCAGAGGGAGTGCTACCCCATTTAGGACAAGGCCCAAGTCCCCCATTCCGAAGCTGAACCACCCACCAACAGGACCTTCGTCTTGTCTGGATTGAGCTTCACTTTATTGGCCCTCATCCAGCCCATTACCTCAGCAGGCACCGGTTCAGTACAGCCACTGCCTCACCTGTATTGATGGAAAACGAGAGGTAGAGCTGGGTATCATCAGCGTACTGATGATTCTGCAGCCCACACCTCCTGATGACCTCTCCCAGCAGTTTCATGTAGATGTTAAATAGCAAGGGGGACAAAATGGACCCCTGTGGAATTCCATGGCATAGCTGCCTTGGCAAAGAGCCATAGTCCCCCAGCACCACCTTCTGGAATCGGCCGTTGAGATAGGAGTGGAACCACCGCAACACGATGCCTCCAACTCCCAATCCTGTTAGCCTATCCAGAAGGATACCATGGTAGATGGTATTGAAAGCCGATGAGAGGTCCAGGAGAACTAACAAGGATGCACTCCCCCTGTCTCTCTCCCTGCACAGGTCATTGTACAGGGTGATCAAGGCAGATTCAGTACCGTACCTGGGACTGAAGCCGGACTGAAATGGGTCCAGATAATCAGTTTCATCCAAGAGTGCCTGGACTTGTCCTGCCACCACCCGCTCTAGCACCTTGCCCAAGAACGGGATGTTGGCCACTGGTCTATAATTGGTGGCCACCTCTGGATCCAGGGATGCCTTCTTTAGGACTGGCCGGACTACCACCTCCTTTAAAGGGGTAGGTACCCGGCCATCTCTTAAAGAGGCATTGATCACCTCCAGGATCCAGGTCCCAATCCCGTCCTTGGCTTTCTTGAGTAGCCAAGATGGACAAGGGTCTAGTAAGCAGGTGGTAGGACATACTTGTCCAAGCACCTTGTCCACATCATCAGGCTGCAGCAACTGAAATTCATCCATTAATTGTGGACTTGGCGGCATCATTGGCACCTCCCCAGTAGAATCTGATTCAATAGTAGAGTCAAGCTTGTGACGAATCTGAGTGATTTTCTCCCTGAAATGTTTGGCAAAGTCGTCACAGCGGGCCTTCGAGGGTGGCATGAGATCTCTCTTTGGTCCCAGATGTACCAGCCCCTGCACCACCCGAAAGAGCTCCGCTGGATGGCATTGTGAGGAGGCAATGGAAGCGGAGAAAAATTTCTTCTTTGCCGCCCTCACTGCCACAGCATAGGCCCGATAGTGGACTCTTAAGTGTGTTGGGTCAGATTCATCCCGTGATCTCCTCCACCTACACTCTAGACATCTCCCAACCCGCTTCATCGCCCGTAATTCAGATGTGTACCAAGGAGAAGAACGGACTCTGTCAGGTGGGAGAGGACGCTTGGGAGCGATCGTGTCAATAGCCCTGGTCATCTCCCCATTCCATAGTTCAACCAAGGCATCGACAGGAGCACCAGCCTTGTCAACCAGAAAATCCCCCAGAGCCTTCAGGAGTCCATCAGGATCCATCTGGCTCCGGGGTCGGACCAACACAACTGGGCCCGCACCCTTGCAGAGGGAAAGGCCGCTCTCAAGCTCAAACCTAATGAGGGAGTGATCTGACCATGACAAGGGCGTCAGACTTAAGTTCCTCACCCTCAGATCACCCTCTTCCCGCTCTGTTGAGAAAACCAGGTCCAGAGTGTGTCCACGCCCATGGATTGGGCCACTGACGTGTTGAGACAGCCCCATGGCCGCCATGGAGGCCATGAAGTCCTGAGCTGCCCTAGTCAGAACCGTCTCGGTGTGGAGATTGAAGTCCCCCAGGACCAACATCTTGGGAGTCTTTAACACCAGGTCCAAGACGATCTCCGTCAGCTCAGGCAGGGAGTCTGTTGGGCAGAAGGGTGCACGGTACATCAACAGAATCCCCAGTCTCGGTCACCCAACACCAAGTGGAGGCACTCTAGACCCGGCCTCGAGAGGACAGGAAGCCCCAAAAGGGAAATAGAAGCTTGATAAATCAGAGCGACCCCTCCCTCCCCTCCAGGCGTGATCGGTGCTGGACCAGGTACCTGGGCGAGCACAGTTGTGAGAGGGCAACATCCCCCCCTCCCCCGCCCAGGTCTCTGTGATACAAACCAGGTCGGCCCTCTCATCCACAATCGTGGATGAGTGTTGCTTTGTTTTGGACCGACCTGGCATTAAGCAGCAGCACTGACAGGCCCGGGGGGCGGTTGACAGGCCTACCTGGAACCCGCCGGCTGGGGGAATAACCAGAAAGAGGAACAGCTGTTAACCATCTGTCCCTCCTTCTTCTATGCAGACCCGTTAAACCCCCAATGCCATAACATCCATTGCCCATGACCACCTCAATGGCGGCGCCCACGCGCTCCCCAGGCAACATCATACTGTAAGCACGAGATGCACCATTAAAAACAACTTAAAACCAACAATTAAAACAGTTAAAAACATACTCACCTTAACCCCCCACCAGCTCACAAACAAGACCAGAACAAAAGCCCCTGGCCAGCCCAGCCCCTGCTCGGCCCCCAAATGGCATCACCGCCCTTAGGCCGTCGCCCTTCAGCTGCCGTCCCAGCTGCCGCCGGTGCTTTCTAGGTCGCAGGGCCCCTCCCCCTTGCCCCACCCTGTCCTGGCATGTCTCTCACTCACGCTGGGGGAGGGGGGCCGGAGCAGGGTCCTCATCGGTGGTCCTGGCAGCGGCGGCGAGCCTCAGTGGCAGCAGTGGGCCTCAGCAGCAGTGGCAAGCCTCAGCGGCGTGGGCTTTGGGCGGCGTGGATGGTGGGAACATGGTATAGAACAAGTAGATGGGCAACAGCAGTCTTACAGGGCTACCTTCTGGAAATGGTGGATGTGAAACATGCATGTGAACTGATCCTTAGCGGTGAGGATAAAAGCAGGACTTTCTTTCCTTTGCATCATGTGCTCTTGTGTTTTTGTTTCTTCTCAGGACTGAAAGTGGCAGAGAGAACATCAGTGCAGAATGAATGGATGGAGGAGAAAGTTCCAGTTATTGTTGCTACTATCAGTTTTGGAATGGGAGTTGATAAAGCTAATGTCAGGTGTGTAAAATATCCCGCGTGAGCAAAAAGATCCTGTATGTTCCTATATATTTTCTCAAGCTTTGAAAGAACCTGATGCAGTAATAATTCCTTGTCCTTTGTCATGGGAGGCCCTGGTTATGGGCAAAACACCCGCTTATCTCATTGTGATCCAGATTTGTTGTGCTTATGTTGAATTGGTATGTATTTTCAATCTTAAAATGCTTTTTAATATAATGGATTTTTTTACCATGCAGATTTGTTGCCCACTGGAATATTCCAAAGTCTATGGCTGGATATTACCAAGAATCAGGAAGGGCTGGGAGAGATGGAAAGCTCTCTAATTGTCGCCTCTATTATTCTCGGACTGACAAGGATCAAGTCAGCTTTCTGATTAAAAAGGAAATAGCTAAGATCCAGGTGAGAGCCTTGGTTCATATTTTATATTTTTGTATTGATTTGGAGTTACAGACTGATATAATTTTAATTTTGTGAACTGCTTTGTGTATTTTAATAGGCAAGCTATAACTTTTATACATGTGTAGTAGTGCAGAAACATTCAGCTTTCATCACTGCTGCTTAAGCTGAACTGCATGAACAGCTGTCTGCTTCCCAGTTAGTGCAAGATTACTGGAGAGGATGGTGGAATTAAAGGAATAAGATTTGGTTGCTTGGTGCTCATGTGTGCCAATGGGGCACCTGCAAAGGCTGTAGCTTCCTGTAACTGCAGTACTTCTATGGAGCTGAAAAGAAATTTGTTGTAGCATCGTCACGCAGTTAGAGGTTAATAGTCATAACTGTGAATTAATGGCTGCTTCTCAAATCAGTGCCTCTGGACATCAATAATTTTGTTTGTTCAACTTTCCCTTTCCTCAGGAAAAGCGAGGTACCTTGAAAGACTCGGATAAAGCTATGCTTTTAGATTTTGATGCTATGGTGTCCTTCTCAGAAGAGCTAGGGTATGTATAACTTTGATTTAAATGGATTGGATCTTACTTGTCTTTTGTGATACCAACATGTACTGTGCTATATTCATTATTTATATAACATAGGAATTAATGCATACATACAGCATATGTTGCCTACTTTGTGTTATTGATGCTGTTCTGCAAATGTGCTTTTGTCACAGATTGTCACACTTTTTGGAAACTGTCATTGAATAACTTACTAGTTCTTCAGAAAGTGGCAAAATAAAAACTAATAGTAGAAATAATTTAAGCTGAATGTTTCTTACTCAGAAGATTCTTTCCTGCAAGGGAGTGAGAACTGTTGGTTAATGTTATGTATGGAAGATGCAAATATTTAGCTCTTTGGAGAATCGGAGGTATATTATACACAAATCTGGCAGGAGGGCTCTAATTACAGACAAGTAACCGCTGCACAGATTGTTATTTGTACTAAACTTGAGAATGTGATACTTAAAAACAAATTGCCATGTTGGACTGTAATAAAATACAAAAACATTCCAAAACAACAATGGTACAGCTATCCAATTTTATTACTGATAAAATAAAAGCACCTGAAAAAGCATACTCATCTGATAAAACAAATGCCTGGCTAGATATGTACAGTCTTCATTGTACAGCAAAGGTGCCAATGCAGCCTCCCGGGGCAGAGAATTTCGTAAGGAAAAATGTGGCTACAGAAAGTGGGGGTTTTTTTGTTTTGTTTTTGTTGTCCTCATCAACCACACTTCCACCATAGTTGGGACATAGAGACAACTATCTGCTTTAGATCTTGCGGCACAGGCAGGCTGGTAAAGGAGGAGGCCAATTAGAATTTTCATGGGCATTGGTAACACTTTTCACTTGTTCTGGAAACTAGCGCAGCCCATGAAGAACAGATGGGCTATGATTCCTGTACGCATCTGTCCACACTGTTGCATTCTGGACCAATAGCAGTCTCTGAAGACTTTTCACCAGTAGTCCCATGTAGAGCATATTGTAAAAACTGGATTCCATATGGTATGCAGAAAGAAGGAAAACGCTTGATAGCTTCCATGTGTTGTCAAAATGCTGGTGTGTTCACTTCATATTAAGGTAACGGTACAGACAAAAAGTAAAAGTTCCTTATTTGATGAATTAGTCCTGAGTAACTACTATCTCGATTTGGTAGTTGTCTTCTAAGTGTGGATTTAGCATCTCTGTCACATACTTGCATTACTTCTGTTTATTATCTTGATTGTAAGCACAAATGGTGGGATAATTATTCTGTATTGAGTACTCTTGAGCATTCATTGTAGGACGAGTTGGAGAAGCATTTCTGAAGTAGGTTTACCCCTTTTGCTGAGACATTTCTGTTGCTATTGTTTATTTCTATACTGCCCAATAGCTAAAGCTTTCTTGGCAGTGAACAAAAACTGATAAAATACTGTATAATACAATATAAAATCTAACAATTTAGAAACATAGTTTGGCAACTTAAACAGCGAAGTTCATACAAGTGGGCCTCCTAAAACAGTTGACAATACCTCCCAAGTACAATTTAGTGCTGTTAAAATGCCTGTATTTAACAATCTAAAAAGCATCTAATTGAGCAGCGTTTGTAGCAAGACATCACTGATAATCCTTTAGATTATTTTTATTAAAATTATAAAATATGCTATCCTGTTGTACACTGATCATTTTTTACAGCAAGGTAAATTTCAGTCATAGTGCCTGTATTCATATTTAAATGATGGATGACTGGTAGAACAGTTACTGTTGCCCTTCTGCTGCTTCAGAGTAATTCCCCATTCCTCTTCCATAGCTTCTTTAAGGATATGAACCAGTCAGTGTTCAGAAAACTGTATGTAACTAATAATATTATAGCCAAACAGGTCACTAAAAGCAAATGAATACTATTGAAAATGAGGCCATTGCATTCTATAATGGTGGTTTAAAAAACTGTGACCAATCAAGGATTTTTAAGAATCAGAACACTTTTGCAGTAAACCCATACTGCTTTCTCTAAAGAAACAAGTTCACTAATTCATATGGAAATTTTTTGTGAACGGGCACCCTCTGTTGTCCCTTTTGCCATCCAGATGCTTTGGGAGTTAATGTGAAATATGTACCTTAAGAGAAACAAGGGGCTTCATAGGTGGGATATAAAAAGAAATGACAGGTTTTCTAGTTCTTCTTGAACCATTAAATATGTTATCTACAGGTTGATGTTTAGCATAAGTTTAGAAGAATATTAATATGGCTAAGTTATATACAAAATATATATATATGAAAAAATGAAAGACAAATGTATAATTTTTAAACATTATGAACTTCTGGGTTAAAAGAGGTGATTTGATAATTATATAACCAGATGTCCTGAAATTTGATTTGCTGATCTCTGCTGCTTTTTGAATTTGAAGACACAGTTCTTCAGAGGCAATCATTTCTGTTGTTAGAAGTTAGCTTTGAATAGATATGTGGCAGGCACATCATTCTTCCAGATGTCATATGTTGTCATATCTGGTTATGTGTTTTTGTAAATCTCCTTCACAGCAACAATTTTTGCTGTAATATATTGACTTTACATGTGAAATAAGGGTCACAAGAAGCAAAAATGCACTTGGTCTTTGATTATATTCTTGAAATTTCTCAGACAAGGCTGCTCTTACTATTTATATGAAACCTGATTTATTTTTTTGGAGTTGAACAGCAGCCAAATATGACAGCAAACAAGAAGAGGGCAATGTTGACCACTAAGAATGAAACAATCACTACAAGTCCACCAAGAGCCCAATCATCTGTTATAATTCGAGTTTTGAGATCTTCCAGCATTTGAGAAACAGTTTGCATTGCAGCTGACATTGTTGACAGGCCCTGAAAGAGTAAATGGACATGGAGGAAAATGAGACTGTTATTCATATGCTTAATTCACAAGATACTCATTCTGTTCTTCAATACAAATATTTCCAGGTTGGCCAACAATGCTAAAACAGTAAAACACAACAGTACAGAAGGAATAAAGTGAATTCAATTGTTATATAAAAGTATTATCGCCCCCCAAAGTCTCAAATTACAAGCAGGCCAGAGGAGGCCTGGCTTTCTTGGCTGCTGCTGCTGCTCTAAAAGGGCACCCTGGGACGAAACAATCTTGACTTCACATAAATGTTGATGGGGTCTGAACTTGTGCTGACCAGGACAGGGCTCTTGGGATCGTGTTCAGTGGCTCAGTGGAAATGACAACCTAGTGTGTAGCTGCAGTCACCAGAAAAAAGCAAATTGGGCCTAATTAGAAAAATAATGGAAACAACTTACCAATATTATAGTTCCCATATATATGGTACAGTCACACTTGGAATATTGTGGTCATCCTACCTGCAAAATGATATTGTAGAATTGGAAAAGTGCAGTACAGGACAACCAATATGACCAAGTGGCTGTAGCAGCTTCCCGACAAAGAAGATTTACAGTGTTTGGGGTGTTTAGCTTAGGAAAAAATGGTGAACGAGGGAGGGTATGATAGAGCTATATAAAACTATACATGACATGGATACACTTGATCTCATTTAATACTAGACCCCTTGAAGCTGAATGGTGGGAGAGTCATGACAGATCAAGGAAGTATTCCTTTATACAGTGCATAATTTCACTTTAGAATTTGCTTCCACAAAATGTGATGGCCAACAGTGTGGACAGCTTTCATCAGGGAATTAGATTTTATGGAAGATACCAATAGTTGCTAGTTATGATGGCTATATATTACGTCTGGTATCAGAAATGATATGGCTCTGTATATCAGCTCCTGGGGTATATGAATGGGAGGGTGCTAATATAATCATGCCCTGCATCTGGACTTCCCATGGGTATGTTATTGTCCACTGTGAGACAATTTTGGTTTGATCTGTCTTGGCTTTTCTCACAGCTATAGCATACTATAAGATTTAGTTAAATTTTGTGAGTCAGGGCCAGGGCTTTTGGATTTTGGAATTAGAGAGTTAAAAGCTGGGGAAAATATACAGATCTTTGCTGGCCCTAATATAAAAGTTTCAGTTTGTTATTGGTTGTTACTGTTGGCTCTTAAAGATGCAGACACACACTCCTACCTTTATCTTTGCAAAACCACACCTTTTCTGCACATTCAGAGTTACAGGGAGGTTCACTCATGACTTGTAAATGCTGCCTGGTTGCTCCTGTACCAGTCAACCTTTTGTCCATTTTAATGCAGAATCATTTTGGTAGTAAGTCATATAGTCCCCATTGCTATATTTTGCTATTTTTCTTGCTGGGAGAGATGTAGAGCTCCTGACCTTGCGCCATGTGCACTATCCTAATAGAGAGGAAGAACAGCTGCTCCTCCTGGCACTGGCCAAGTCCGCAGTTTTGTGCAGTATCCCCACGAAAGTGCTACACAAAGAATTTGACTGGTTATGGGAAGAGCAGGTTCTCCCTTCCACCACCTGCATCCTTGCTGTTATCTCCAATCTAAAATTGAGACAATAATGAGGGTCTGTCAATGCTAAGTCCTCCCCCTGCCTCCAGGTAACCAATGCCTGGAGGCAGGGCACATATCCTCTGGATGTGCCACAAGCTGGGCACATATCCTCTGGATGTCCTTGTGTCAATCATTCTGATCCTGATTTGGCATGACATGTTACCTCAGATCTCTGGCTTTTTTCTCCCACAAGCTCACAGTATTTTTCCACAGTATGTTGCTGGGGGAGAAACAAGGTAGAAGTCCAGGTTCTCATGTCAGACTGAACATAGCATGGATGCTGCAAACAGAAGCCATAGTCAGCATGTGTTGTTACAGCTCTGAGTTTCTTCACTAAATAACACTCATTTTCTATTGCATTTTGTACATAAGTGTAAAACAGAATAGATACTGTGCCCTTCCCTTTAATGAAAGGAATTGGTTTTAATCAGGGTGTGCCCTGATCTGGGTACACACCCTGAAGTAACAGTAGCAACTTTTAAATTGGCAGTCACCAGAAATAAGTACATACTTGCATTCCGTACAATGGAGTGTTCAGGCTTGT